TTCTCCCGGGCGGAGAAGCCGCTCCACATGCAGTCCTGGATGATGATGGAGTTGAGGTTGTTGGTCACGCCGAGGCCCGTCTCGAAGAAGTCCCCTCCGTCCGAGCCGCCCCACAGGTCGGCCTCGGGGGGCAGCAGGAGCAGCTCGGACGCCCAGTCCAGGGGGTCGGCGGGGCGACAGCCCCCCAGGGCCGCCCCTCCCCACGGCACCGGGGCCCCCCCCGGGGGGTGCTCCTGGAGCCCGGCCCGGCTGGGAGACAGGGGAGGGGTGGGCAGCAGCTCAAACTTTTTCCAGATGTCCTCCCCGGGGGGAGCGGAGTCCGGCCCGCACAAATAAAAATCATCTTCGTCAGGGTAGAAACAGGGCTGCAAAGAGTCGAACTCGAGGTCTGGGTTTTTACTGACCATTCCTGGCATTACGGGTCTCTTCTTGCTGATCCCTGGGTCGGGCAATGGTTTTAGAAACAGGTTTTATGGGTATTTCCACCAAGGGGAAGAAGAGAGGTTCTCCCAAGACCTGAAACTAAACCAAAAATAAAAAAAACAACCACAATTAAAACACGAAGAAACAAACAGACACGAATGTGACTCCCTTCCTCTTAACCGGAGGGGAAAAAAAAAATAATCCCATCATCAATAGCAAGAAAGAGGGAGCCTTTTGCAAGTTGAGAAAAAATGCCTCTCACACACCTTTCCTCCCGACTCAAGATATTCAGAGAAAAGCGACCAGGTAGTGCTCCCACACGCAAAGCTTTCCGCCGTCCCCGGCGCTCCGTGAGGACACAAAACCAGCCGGCAAGGTCCAGCAAGGATGCAAAGCACCTCTTGTGCTTGTGCACATAGCACTCGCCCGCTCTCCCCAAACTGCTTCAAACGCTCACAACAGCAGAGTAACTGTAGACAGATGCAAGGCTTTGATACCGTAATCTCTCCAGAAAGCTCTCTTAATATACCAGCAAAAGTAGAGGAAGTTTACTCCTTTTGTCATCTGCGGAGCAGTGCAAAGGGGAGAGAGAAGGATGCAAAGAAGGGGGCGGAGGGGCTCTTTGCAACTTCGCAAATCGCCAGTTCGTTCACTCAAAGCGAGCCAGAGAAATCCGCACAAAACACAAGGGGGGGAAGAGGAGGAGGGGAAATTCAGCAGCAACAGAAATGATCAACCTTATGTAATAATCTCACGCACAAAAATGCATTAAAACCACCCCGGCGCCACCAACAAAGCCTCCTGATTTGCCAAGAAGGTACGGGAAGTTTTTTTTTCTCCCCCTTTTTCCAGTTTAAGACAAGAGCAACGGCGAGGTTGCAACGACAACAACTTTGCGCGTTCTGCCACTTCATGCAAGCAAACCTCCTGCAAACACACCGGCTTTCCAGCCCTCTCACCTCCGGAAAATGCACGCTGCTGCCCTTACCTCGGCCGGACCCCCCACTCACTAGCCACGACCAGTCAACCACAGCCCCATTCCTCTTCCGAGACCTCAGTTGCATCAGACATTAAAAAAAAAAAAAATTACTTAAAGCCCAAACGAGACATTCAGCGTCTCCCTTCAGCTCGGTTAAGGTAACGCGAAGGGAAATCGTTCTGCTGGGTTCAGAACAGCTGACGCTGAAACGGAGACCAAAAGGGGGAAAAAAAAAAATCCATTAAAAGCCTTATGATGAAATGCAAAGAAACGAGCCCGGCTCAGCTGCTCTCCCCCTGCCCCGCCCCCTGATCACTTCCAGTATTGTACATTTTTCTACTCGTGAAATACATTAAACCGTTAAAAATGCAAAGCAGTAAAGAGGCACCTACAAAACACAGGCGATCTCAATGCGACAGCTCCAAAACAAAACAAAAATATCCTCCAGGATTTTCTTCTGCTCAGTGAAAAACCCATTCACGCACTGCAATGCCCCTGCGCTTCCTTTCCCTTCCCATCCTCCCTAGTTTAGCAACTCAAATGCTATGTGGAATTGTATTTATTTGATTGGTTTTTTGTCCTCCTGCTTATTACAGCCCAGACCCTGCAGCTTCCTCTTCTTACCTCCTTGGTGATGGTGGTGGGTGTTGCAGTGGGGGGGAGGGGCGGGGGGAGCTCGACGTCGATGAGGGCGAGGGAGGAGGGGGAGGCTTCTCCTGAGGGGAGAATAAACCTCGGTGGAGGCAGGGGTAGTGCCTGTGCCCCTTCGCCTCGTCCCCTCCAGGGGATTTTGGGAGGTCCTGCCTCTCCCCTGTGGTGATCCCCCTTTTCACCTCCATGTTGCACCTCGGTGGCCAAAACTAGGAGGCTCCACCAGCCCTTCAGTGTCCTGAGGTGGCCTTGAAAACTGGCTGGGATGCCTGGTGTGGTCCTGCAGCCCGCTGGTGTTCCGGGCACCCCCGGGCAGGCCTGGCCGCAGCGCTGGGCTGCTGGAGGTGGCACGATGGCGGCGGCTGGCCTGCCTGTGCTGCCCATGGAGGTTGGGTTGGCTGACCAAAGGTGACAACTGCTTTGAAATGGCCCCAGCCGGGGCAGGGGCCTTCGGCTAGACCCTTTGCTCCCCCAGCTCGCTCCTGCCCACCTTTTCCCCTCAGCACAGAGGTGGCTGGGTGTAGTTTTGCTGAGGAGCCTTTGGTTGGCCCTGGCTGAGAGGAGAAAGGGCACCCGGGAGGCGAATCCTTTGTACCAGAGCTTCCGAGCAAGTGCGATTCCAGCAAGCGGAGCTGAAGGTGACTTTCAGGTGTCCCGCTAGGAGTTACAACCTGGCTGGGAGGTAACAGCTGGCTGGGGTCAGCTGTGGAGGGGGCAGTGCACCGTAAAGCAGAGGAGTGCTGGACTGACTCCTGCTGGGGGTTCAGCCAGCCCCATGGCAATAAGCTGTGGGACGTTGGAGGTCAGGCTTGCCTGAACTTTTGTGATTTGGCCTCCATTCCTCTAATGCACTTTGGATTCAAGACAGGGGAATTCATTGATTAGCTAATGTGTGCTCAGTACTTCGAGGATGTGAAGTCTTATGAGAGCATTGAGCTTTATTAATTTGTGTTGGATGATTTGGCTGGACAAAAAAGGTGTGGGTGGTTGGGGTTTTTTTCCCCTCACATTTCAGTAGCCTTGAACAGGTTGCAGCTTGTGAGGAGACACGAACAGTTAGTATGTGTTTCACCAAATGTGTGAACAATTTATTTATACTCATAAACTGAGGACCTTCCTCAATTTAAAGAGTTATATGTGATTTGCTCCTTTAAAGTAATTCTTTTTGTCTTCCAAATTTCCTTTAATGCTTTTATGTAGGCAAATATTGATATGTCCATACCTTAGAGATGGACATGGGCTGCTACCTGATTTATTGTTAATTCATTATAAATTCTCACCTAGATTTTCTCAGCGGCCTTTTTAAATTTTCCTTTTTCTTTTTTTCGTATCTATGTGCGTGGGAATAAAGCTATCAACTTTTAGGAAAGTTCTACTGCAGTGTGTGATGTCTTTTGTAGTACCCTGGATGAGAACATTAATGAGGGGCAACGCTCAAGACAAATCTTTAAAGTAACTTTCATTTAAAAAAAAAAAAAAACCAAAACAAAACAACCAACCAAAACCCAAAACCCCCAGCGAACAGGAAACGGAAAGCAATATGCTGAGAAACATTGCTGTTTATGAGAATAACTCTGTTTAGGTAAAAAGACTTGTTAAAACCCCAGATCTATTGCTTTGTCTTGTACAGTTGAGAAAGACATGGAAAACATTGTGCAAAGCTTTGGAAGGACTGCACAAATCTTTGTGATGTTTTGGCTGACACTTACTTTGGGCTATTTTATCAACATTTACTGATCCCTTCTGTCCCTGAAATGGCATATATCAAGAAGCCTCAAGGCAAATGGAAACCTGAAATTCCTTGCAGTTACTGTGAATTTATTATTATGTCATTTCTCTGAAAAAACTTGGGAATTAAAATGTGCTGACACTACAGCTAGGTCCCAATATAGACCAGTTGTGCAGCAAATATTTTAAGGCATTGTAAGAATTAACTCTCTGGAAAAGTAGAAAAAGATGTATAAAAAAGTGTATAAGAGGCTAAAAGATACTTTTGCTTACACAGTGGTAAGAATCTAAGTAGATCCTGTGGTCTTTATTTTGGCCTGACAAGGAGCCTGACAAAGCACTGTGCTGAGAGCTTGGACATACACACCTGGGCGTAATACATGGGTAAGTTAATGGTGTTCAGGGCTACTGAGCATTTTCCCTTTTGTCGTTATTGATTCATTAAGGAATGCTGTGTAAGACAAATTTCTCTGGCCACACATATCTCTCTTTCACCCTTACAGCCTGCAACTACCAGGAAGATCAAAAGAAACAGGACAGTATTACTTGATATGTGTGCAGCTGTCTTCCTCGGAGGCACCCACACTTTGGTACATTTGAGTTTTCTTTGCTAGTCAGAAGTAATGTATGTACTCTCATGACTCCATGTTAAAATTGTAAAAAGGGTTTATAAAGGGTTTCCTTAATCGGGGGGGAGGTGTGTGTTCTGAATGTACTTGGCAAAAGCATGACAGAATTGGAATGATTTATCCCTGTACTGTCTCCACCAGCAGAAATGACATGTGAAGCTTCCTGTGTAGGACTAGAAAGGACATCATAACTATGAACACTCATAGACCTAGGATTTTTATTTTTTTCTTAAACAAGGACCTGATACACTACCTATTAGATAGCAGTAGTAACATTTTCAGGCAGATTAAGTATTTGGAGGTAGCTGTTAAAGTTAACAGTTATGAATGCTGCCAGATTTAGAGCAGCAGATTTATTCCTGCATACCTTCAGTCAGCATACTAGGTAGTTGTACTGATCCTTGCTGTGTAGCTGCTAAGTGTGTGTAATCTAAAATATTTCTCTTGACACTCTCCCTGAAGGTAGAGTCTGGTATTACTTTTACCCTCATTCAGGTGAGACAGAGTAAGGGACTTGCCCAGTATCACATATGGAAATTGAAGCAGATTTCCCCAGTATGCTGACTGTAACAGTCTGAGGTAGCAATTGCTTTCCCACAAGTTCTTGCAGAGTGCATCATCATCCATTAAGATGACAGAAAAGCGCAGCCTCTCAAAGCCATTGGATGTCACCTCTGCAAAGAATGCCATTGTCAGTGCTACATTCACAGATGTTCTTGTGACATGAAAACTCTCAAATACCAGTCATAATACCTAGTGCTTGTATAATGTTTCACATGACCAAGACATTGGACAAACACAGACATTGAAAAACTTGAGGTATTTCACTTACAGTCACCGCAGAGGTCACTAGCCAATCTCACCTATGCATTCAGAAGCACTTTAAGGAGTACCTAGCAAACAGAGAACTAATTCTATTTAATTAAAACCAATTTTGAGGTCATATTATTCATAAGAAATACTCTGATAATAGAATATCACACTGGCTGCTAAGAACAGAGGAGAT